TAACCATGGTCAAAGAGTCTTCGATTAAACTCACGACCCTGCTGCCTCAGAGGCTTTTACCACTTTACTGTGTTTGTGGAGATGTCAAATCCATATGAATGAAGTGGATTTACATAAGAAGGCATTTGGGGCACATTTGGTTTCTTCGTGGGCAATCTTCTGGTGGTTGTAGGAGCTGACATTCTCTCCTCTGAAGGCAGAACACATCCTACATGCCTCGGGCACCCACAGACAACCAGACAGATTTGCCAGCATGCTGCATAGGGCTAAAGTACAAGAGAAACCCTTCTCAGCTTTTTTTCATTCTCAACATCATTTTTTCCCCTGTTTGAAACCTACTTTTAGCGGCCATAGGCTTGGGAGAGACAAACTTGCTGCTAGAACCACCAACAGCATAAAATAGTAGATTGGAACCATGTCATCTAAACAATCATATCTGTCTCTCTGAAACCCACTGGTTTCTTAGACAAAGTCCACTTACATCAGAAAGACAAAAAACTGCGAATTAAAATATAGAAAGTTCTGACCCATTCTTCTGTGATTTTGAGCTGTTCGACTCAAGGCAGGGAACCTGGGTTCAAATTCTGGCTCTGACATTTATGCGTTGTATGGCTTTGAATATCATTTCACCTTTCTAAGATTCATTTTCCTTAGCTGTAAAATGGAATCTTAGGATCATAGAAGCAGAGCTTGAAAGGACTTCAGAGGTCATCTGGTCTAACACTTTAATTTTACAGTTGAGGAAACAGAGGCAGAGAGGTTGTGACTTTCAAATGGTAAGATGGTAAAGTGAGATTTGAATCCAGGACCTCTGACTTGAGGAGCAATCTTCTGTCCACTGCACCATAATCTTTCTTTCAGTTACTTATCTCAATGGGGTTGTTATAAGGCTTAAAATCAGAGGAGCATTTTCAGAAGGAAATTCACAATTTAGATTGATTGAAAAGATGGCAAACAAAATGATAAAGGGGTTCAGCAACTATTACATCAACAGCAATTGTAGAAACTTGGAACTCCTTCATGTGGAAAAGAAATAAATGGAAGACACGAAAATGATCTTAAAATATCCAAAACATTAATGAAAAAAGATAACAACATTTCAGATTGGTAGGGGATCTCTCCATGTTCATCTAGCCTACCTCATTTTATAGGCAATGAAACTGAGGCTCTTAGTGGAGTTTTGACTTGACCAATATACACAGGTGACAAAGCCAGAATTCAAACCAGGTGTACAAATACCAAATTCAGTTCTCTTTCCATGACATACTAATGTTTTGTCTCAGAGATCAAAAATAGAATCAGTGGGTAGAATTTACAAGGAGGAAGAGTTGAACTTAACATAAAAAGCTGTTCTATTTTTTATTGGAGTATTGGACATGGACTGTCTTTATAGAACTATCTTTAACTTAGTCTTACCTGTTTCACTGAGTGATTAAGTGATTTCCCCAGCGTCACAAAGCCAGTATGTGTCAGAAGAACTTATTCAATAATAGATCTTTGGGAATTTTCTTCTTCAATGTTAGTAGAACAGCTCAATTGTTTCCAGACAGAATTTTTACCTCCTGATTCCAATAATCCATTGGTTAAGACCACAGATGATGACATCTTGACTATTGGCAGGTATAGCAGAAACATCCTCTTATTATCCAGGTTGCAAGAGCAAAAGAACAATAAAGGATTTCTAAACTTGGGCCTTAGAAAGGCATTTTTTTTTTTAATTTGGGCTCTGGTAAAATAGTAAAATAGTCAAATCTGGTTTGAACCCCACAGAGTCCTCTATCATCCCTCCCCAAGAATCATTTGGCAATCCTCTCCTTACCTGTAAAAAACAAGTTATGTAGGAAGAAAATCAGTACCATACTCACAGAGCTACAACCATAGCGTGTTTGTAAGTAAAGCCATAATGGGTAGAAGGTGGCAGTGGACAGAGGGTAAGCTTTAGGGTTTTGGATTCACATCATACTTCTACAATCTACAAACTGTGTGATCATGAGCACTGAACCTCTATAAGTTGCTCATGATCTGTCATCTTTATCAGTGAAGAAAATTTCCACACTGGGAATTCCTCTATACCACTGAATTCACGGGTCTAGATCTCCTCCCTCCACCCCAGTCCCAACCTCTCCAGCCTGAGGAGGGGAAAATGGTCTTACATGAAGTTAGGTGGTACAGTGATTAGTGGCTACTCCCTTCCCCCCAACCCCTTCATGTAATCTCACAGCTTCTCTCCCATTACCTTATTACTGATGCAAGTAACATAGCGCTCCTGAGGTTAAAGAGATATCAGAAAGGATCAAACTAAGACAGGTGTAACCTGGAAACCCGATGGTTTTGTAGGTGATCTAGGAAGATGCCAACAGTAGGTGAAGGGAGGATGTCTGCACGGGTGGATGAAGCAAAATGTCACTCTAGTGTGCATGATACATGCAAGGTTCGAGATGCAGTTTCTGGGTAATTCATCATTTTATTAATTATGCTAATGGATAATTAATAAAAGGGGTCTGTGACATTCTAGAATGCCAAAGACTCTTCATGAAACCCAGTCAACATTTACATGCTCTTGGAAGAATGGGTGTTTCTGAGGGTGGAAGTCAACTCTGTTTGGTTAAGAAGTAATGAGAGAATGAATGTATATGCCTATTTGTGTCCAATGGTAGCCATCTCTGGGGTGGGGGGGGAAGGAAGGAAAAAAAAGAAATTTACAGATAACTTTATTACATATTTAAAAAGAATAGCAAGTTTTACATAATAGGTTGCAGTTTCATATGCAATCAGCTTTTTCTTATACTATTTTATGGCTGTTTTATTGTGCTATATTTGTTTTATTCCATAAATTAAAAATAAAATAAAATTGAAAAACCTCGGTTTCTTTATATGTAAAACCGAGTTAATAATACACGTTATCTATCTAACAGGCTAATTATGAGGAAATGTGTTGTATGACTTATAATGTTATACAAATGTCAGGGAACATTTTGTTAATGTTGTTTTGCTTTACAAATTGGAAGAGAAAATTACTATGCAATAATTTCAGTCAACAAGCATTTATTTTAACATTAGGCTTGGAAGCTTCTATTTGGCCTGGGAGCAGCCGAGGGATTGAACGCCTCAAATTGTGACTCCCTCTGTTTACTTGCAAGCCCTTCTGTGGCCTTCTTATTCTGTCATTTATTCCAGTGGAATCAACTAACAAAAACATAAAATGAGCACGGCAAGATCAAGAATTTTAAAATGTTTTCCAGGCTAGCTGTTTTTCTTTTTTCCTATAAACCTTTCTTTCGAATTAAAATTCTCCTGAGATAATTGGAATTAGCTTTCACTCTGATGCCTTTGTCCCAGACTTGCCTTAAGTCTTTACATTGCTTGCCTCTGTTTATGTTGATAATGTCTCTATTAGAATAAGCTGGTGTGTGATTTCCATAAGACTTTTTTCAGGTTAGCATGAAAACATGACATAGTAACTGTCATTTATTAGGTCTTTGTCATTGGGAAAAGAGTTGAGCCACTTGTCCCTTAATGGATTTGAATAATTAACAAATAATTATGAAATTTCTACTTGAGAATAGGGTTAAGAAAGTTATTAAAGCTCCATAGAAACCATCCATCCAGAAGCCAGAAACCTGAAAGATTTGTCCATAATTTACAATATTGTGGTTTCTGTCTATTTGGTTGACTGGCTGGGTTTTTGTTTTAAAGTTTCACATAATATAGTGAATTAATATGCAACATATATATACATAATATACAATATATACAATATACATACCATAGGGAAATAATATATATCTTCACTAGGAATTTTTTTTCTGTTCAGCATCAGAACAAAGAAAAAAATTAAAAACTTGTCCATAAACTTAGAGATTTTTATATCTTGGCGTCCTGCTAAGCTGTCTGTACGTTCTAGAGAAATAATGATCAGTTTTTGAAACTCTCAAACAACACCAGAGTGAAGGTGGTGGTCATAACCAATAAAACTGACTTATTCACCATCTGCTTCCCCCATGCATAAATTACTAATGGGGGTCAGTTCATTTAGTATAGGAAATTAAAATGGAGGAATGAGGATTTCTTTCCTTTTTTTAAGCACAGCAGATAATTTCTAAAATTAGCAAATAATGAAGACATAGAATCACTGGCTGTGTCCAAGGATCAGCTCGACTGTCTTCTCCAAGACCCATGACCTTTTCTGGGCTTGCCAGTAATTCTCTCCTTTTCCCCCACCCATATCATCTTCCATTTAGTTATCTGTGTATATGTTGTATCCTCCAGCAAAATGCAAGCTACTTGAGGTCAGGGACATTATTGTCTTTGTCTCCCCAGTGGGTGGTATAGTACTTGACACTTTTTTTTAACTGGATCTGAGATTTCTTTAATATGGGAAACTACTGACAAGGAAGTTTTGACCAATATGAAGAAACAGACCTCAAGAACCCTATCCAAGTTGGCATTCTCATTTCTACATGTAACCAGCTGCAGAGAAATGCAGAGATGGCTCAAAGGTTCTCTTAGACGAGATGAATCAAGGAATTGATGTAATTGACATAAGGGATGGGACCGGGACATCCACTATCAGAATGTGAAGCACAAGACTACAGTTACATAACATGCACATGTGTGTGTGTGTATACACACATATGAATATGTATATGTATACACACATATGTCTATCCATGCATGTTGGTATGTATTTCTGCATGTATTTATATTTGGACCAGGTGTGTGATTTCATTTGCATAGGAAACTCCAAGTGAGTAAATTCCTACCAATAAAGGTCTGCACCTTCTCTGCCTCATATATCTTTAGAAAGTTGCTCGAGGGGCACTGTAAGTTTAGGTGATTTTCCCAGGGTAGCAGTTTATGCCAGAGGCCAGGTTCTCCAACTCAGAATCTTCTTGTGGCTGAGGCCAGCCCTCTATCCACTATGCCACACTATCTCTCATCATCTATGTGATATATGAATTTTAATGGTGTTAAATTGCTTTGCTTTTCTGTGTTTACAGATAAACAGTTTCAAGAATTTCCAAGCCTTCTCCATTGTGCTGCAAAGTTTGGCTTAAAGAATTTGGCTGTCCATTTACTTCAGTGTTCAGGTGCAACTTGGGCATCAAAAGCTAGAAACATAGAAGGAGAAGACCCAGCACATATCGCTGAAAGTCAAGGTCATGGGGAGCTCAAGAAAATCTTTGAAGAATTTTCAGTGAGTTACAAATGGGCCCAAATATTGTGTATGTGTTAGCATATTGTCCTTATGTGAAAATGTTGCTATTTGTCTATCATCAGTAGGACTTTGGATTCTTTTCCAGTAAAAGTGATTGGCTGAACTGATCAGTCCACACTTTCCCATTTTCTATTCCACATTTAACCAAATACTTTTGTCAGACAAGTTTAGGAATACAGTAAATTGTTAACCTTTAGTGTCACCTTATTAAAAAAAAAAAACTTAAATTTTCTACATGTTGTGGAGCCTGCTTGTTAGAGGTAACAAAATTAATCCAGTATTTTTTAAACCGTTTGCCTACTATAAATTTTTTGCTGGATTAGAACAAGTGATTAGAATATACATGAAAGCAAAATATAATAAAAGTTTTTTGAATCTGGTATGTGAAGAGAAATAAGCTAATTATTAAAAAAGAAAGAAAGAAATGAAAGTTAACAGAGTTAACTGATGATGCTTCTTCTGCGATTGTTTCCAATGATCTCCTACCTAAGACGTACTCTGCACTCAGCCTCAATCTATGCCCAGTCCAGAACCTGCAGCCATCCCTTTTAAAATACAATATATAAATAACACATCATGATAAGAGAGAAGAGAAATTTTAAAAAGCTATTTTACTCTGCAACATGAAATTTGTGAAATGTAAAACCCTTCTTAAACCCAATTGTGTGAAATACTAAACTTTACTTCCAAATTATTCTTCATTTTACCAATAAACCAGTGGGAGGTAATTGACATGATGCAGAGGAGTATTTTCCTCAAAGTTCTTCAACCTCTCCCCCAAATCTAAAAAAATAAGGAATTATGTGCCAGATATAGAGCAATTAAATCTGAATCTATAACATAAGAAGACTGAAAGATCTTACTGCATGAGGTAAGAAATAATATCTGAGAACTGAAATATTTAGAATCTCCACTCAGCATTGCCATGTCCTAACCAACTGGGTACACTAGATACAGTAGCCATGAGCAGACTCATAGCTTTGTGCTTCACAGTCTAGCAGGAGATATCCCTACCCCATCCCCCAAAGAGAACACCAACTACAGTAACTCCTTTGTCACCTCTCCAAGGAGAATCTTAGAATCACATTTTCATTTCTCTGAAATTGGTTTCATGTATAATGAGAATGTCAATATGGATAAGGTTCTTGGGTTGTGTTTCTTCATATTGGTCAATGGTGAAAGCTTTAATGTAGTAACAGTTAAATTAATGCCTAACCCTGTCTGATTTACTCCTTATCTGTCACTCCACTACCATCACTTCAGAAGTTAAAAAAAGGTTACTGCCCAGGACTGAAAGTATTTCATAGCTTCATAGATTTCATGTATCATCATGGTCAGAATACAGGCCAACACTCTGTTGATAACCTTCCCTCTACTTAATAAGTTGATCATCCACTATTTAATAATAGTCTTGCTTTTTAAGTCCTTCCCCTTTACTCTTTTATAACTTTTATATTCTGGGGATGCAGACTTAATAGCTGATAAATTATTTTCTGGTGTTGGTTGAATTACTGTGCTTTTCTGCATCCCCTGTGACTACAGGTTGTTTGGCTCTGTTAAATAAGATTCTTGAACATTTTTTGCCACATCAGTTGGGCAGCTGAAGAATTTGGACAACTATCTGATGTCAGCAAATGGCTGCAGCTGTTGCAAGGGATGGCCACAGCAGCCAATACCATAGCTCCTCAATTATTTTGACCATCCATAGATAATTATGGGTGCAGCCACTTTGTTTTGTTATGTTTTGCTTTTTAGTAACCAGGCTATAGCGAGCATTTTATTATGTAGTTTTGTGTATCTGTGCATATTTGACTTCTGCCACATACCATATACAAAATGTTCTCCTTAGAGCACCTGTCAGAATGATTACTTATTATCAGTTCTTTGTTTAAAAAAAAAAGAGAAAAGGTATGAAATTCTCCAGTAAAGAAATATCAGAAATGTACCTTGTCATTCTATAATAAGCTATAGAAAATATTAGGAAATGAACTCATTTAAAGACTTGTTTTCCCATTAAAAGCAATTTTATACCTGCCTGGGTAAATGGCATAATCTTTAAATGTTAATAAAATATCTACTTATTAGTAGCATATTTGTATATTATGTACTTTTCCTAGTGTTTATAATCAGACTGTTCAAGTGAAACATGAATGTTCAAAGTCTACATGGAAAATTAACTGAAACAGGTAAAATTTATCAAGACATTAATTAAAAATTAATTAAAACAGGTTAAAAACAGATAATTTCTTCAGTGTTTGCAAATTGGAACCAACCAATGATTCACAGCTATATAATGAAAAAAAAACAATGAATTTACACAAGTCTTTAGGAATGTGATATTTGTTCAATTTGACTATGTCAAACTAGAGAGTTGGAAAATAAACCTTTTGAAAAAATATCTAGAAAAATCGAGTTGATTTCAGCTGGTATAACTTAATGTGTGTTTGGAAGATACTTTATCTGAGGAGAGCTTTTTTTTTTTAAGTTGTGTTCTGTTCTCCAGACTCAACTGCTGTTTAAAAAATCAACAAACAAAAAACAAGTCAGGTTTTATATTCTCTTACTGGGTCAGGCGCATGACTGAAATAGTATTATCTATTTAAAAAAAAAACTGTCTGCAAGATGCTGACATTTTTCCTCATTAAGACATCCTCCAAGGAGGCATAAACCATTCTCAAAAATATTCTAGAGAAGAGAAAAGAGATACATGAGTCAGTTATTGCTAATATCATCTTGGCTGAGTTGGGGGGATGGGGTTTGCAGGGAAGCCCTGTGAATGATCTTTTCCATTCTTTTGGAGTCTTTTCTTCTTAAGGAATTAATATCTAAGTGTTTTAAAATTGTGTCCCCTCCAATTCAAACTTCTTTTGTACACATATTTGGTTAAGTTTATCCCCTTTCCTTAGTGCATGTTTCCAAATAACATTATCACTTCTCATCAACGACTAAGATAGTAGAGTCTAGCTTTGATAATTCATCATCAGTGAGAAAAGATTATTATAAAAATACTGAAAGATTTGGTCCGTTTGACATTTTTGGTCATGATAATATTGAATGATCTGACTTACCTGACTCTCACACACCAAGTTTTCTATAGACTCCTTTACTTCTTAATGTATGTTTTGTTTCATTTTTGCATGTATGTGTGTTTGTATGTGAGAGGTAGTTTTCCTAATTGTTTGATACTGTAAAGTTAAATTTCCATTGGGTTGGGTGTCTCTTCATATACTAAAAGGGCTTAAGCAGCTAAGATGGTTTCTGGTCCTCTTGTCTTCCATTGTGTGGCAGCCATTTGCTTGACCAGTTAATTATAAGGTACTGCAAACATCAATGAAATGAGCTCTCCTGACTGCTTTATTTGTCTTTCTGGAGAGAACCTGTAAGCTGCTTTTCCATTTAGCTGAGGATTTTTTTTAATCTTAACTACTTCATTTTCATCGCATGTTCTTTCCTTGGTAATTGCACTTGTTTACCTTATATTTCTGTTTGTTTAGACAGGAGTAGTCAAGCTTCAGCTGAGGTCCAAATCCTGCCTCCCCATAAGCTAAGAGTGGCTTTAATTTTTTTTAAGCACAATAAAACTTTATTATAAGATATAGTAACTATTCTTAGCTCATAGGCTGTACAAAAACAGGCAACAGAAGATTCAGACCAGAGTTTGCTAACCCCTGGTTTAGAGTGTTTGTAAGTTTAATATTGTCCTCACTTCTATGTTGTTGTTGTTGTTGTTTTTATATTTTTAAAAGATGCCTTACCTGCCTGTCTTTTCTTGAGTGTTGGCCTTTTTTTATTGATAATTAGGCCCAGATTTACATGGTATGTAATTTGGGGTTGTATAGTCACTCCTTTGTGGTTTTGTTGTTTTTTAAAAATGTTTTCATTCCTTATTTCATATAGAAGGTATCAAGTTATTGGTTGACAATGATCATGTTAAAAGTAACAATCATTTAATTAATGTTTGTAGGAACATTGCCTAAGAGAGAGATGATTCATAGCATCCTCTATTTAGTTGACCTTTTCTGCCACCTTTCCAACTCACAATGGAAAGAAATAGGGATTGAAACTAGGAGACGCTGTTTTCATTGTTGGTTTGCTTTGGCCAAAGATCATTTTTATCACCCAGGTGGCCAGTCTTTCAGTGATGAGTAAGCTTCTCTGGACTTGACTGTTGTGGTTCTTGGACAGCAGACACAAAGTCTGTCATCAGCCCTCTATTCAAAATATCTCTAGCTTTTGAACCTGCCGAAGCTTACGCTCCTTTGAAATAGTCTTATGGAGTCCAGAACACCTCCATGCCCTGATAAATCAACAGAGTAGGATTCTAGTGGAGAAAAACTATTTAGATCAGAAATCAGGAACCTTTCTGTGAAGCTTCTGAAACCAGTTACCAAGTTCTAGGAGTTGTGTTCTATATTTAAGTGGAATGTTGTGGTTGTGTTGTGTTTTGTCCTTCATTCTCCAAGAGGACCATGACATCAGGAAGATGTTGCCATGACTTGCAAATGAATTGATTTTAAGTGAGGGAGGCCATCAGCCTTACTTTCTCCTCTTGAGCCATCTGGGTCCAATGGCCAGATATAGATCAGGACAACAGGAGATGGCCGAGCAAGTGGCGTGTAACTAGGTATAGCCCAACATGAATCTAGATAATTTACTATCATTATTATAATTTTTTAAATCATTAAACATATAAAATATACATGTTTATATTATATATTATAATTATATTGTAATAATTATAATAATATATTATAATAATTTACATTTGTTTTATAGTTTAAGGTTTGAAAAGCACTTTTTGAAGAAACTCTAAGGAGCTGTTTTCTGGGTCCAGGGTAACAGTAGCAAGAAATGTTTGCTGAGAGGGAGTTTGTTGTACTGGATTGGTGATCAGTACATGCTGGTAATAGTCACTGCCCTGACACTGATTAGACTTTGAGCGAGTCACTTAATCTCTATGGGGCTCAATTTCCTCACCT